TGCATTTAGAACTGATGGCGTGTACCATGCCTCTCCATGACTACCATGACCTCTCCACACTAATTCAAAAATTCGGTCTGCCTTCCTTGAGGCGACGTACAATTCCATAATAGTTATTTATGTATCAAGGGAATTAGGAGGGCCTTAATTACCGATGGCAAAGTTTGCGTCCCGAGGGCCTCTGGCCCGAGGGACAGCAATTGCCTGAGGTTATTAAGGCTCATTAATTCCCGTGGTACATNTTTGTTCCAAGGACGAAGCTGTTGAAGGAGCTTTGAGGGATATCGGGTTGCTGTAACAACTTTGGACATCTTCTGTTTGAACAGCGATTTTGTGTTCAAACTTCTTGCCATGATATATGTATTACTTGTGCCTGAAATTTTACCATTTATCTTTATCTATGTGATAACTTCAAATTGAATTCCGAATTTTCAATACATCCACGATTGTGTCAATTTTTCAATTTTATACTGTTGTGTCAAAGTTTTCTTGCCAACAATATTGTGCAATTACTTGATATTTGACTATATTTTTATGATCTGTTATACTTTACCTTTTTCAAGTATCTCTATTGTCAATATCAATGTTAGGCAACATATATAGAAATAATGTAACGATAACATTATTCGAACAAATTAATTATCAAAAATTGATTTTTATACAACTAATATATATGTATAACACTGCACGATATATTGACTTGAAATAAATATACAATATTCAACTAATCTTGTAGCGGTAGTTAACTTTTTTACTGAATGTTTTGATGTGTGCCAAATTGTAGTGGTTGTGTATAGAATACAGATGCATTTTTGATTTCTTTTTCTTTTCTTCTTCATGAAACACTGGCCCTTTTCCTACTCAAGGGTTTTATATTTCACATTTGATCTGGTTTAGGGACGCTTATTTATTATTCTTTATACAGTGCATCTATGAATAAATCAATCACTCAAGAACAATATAATTGTCAATTTATGTAACAAGTCCACTTTTCATTATGAAATACTCTTTTCCGAAATAATAGTTGAAGATACAAGATGATTCCAAAATTGTATCACTAGTATGAAAAATAGCTGAAATACTGAATTGAGAATAAAATACAAAACTACAAAAAATACTGGGAGAGAAATGAAAATTGGGTGTTGTGAACACAATTCCATTAATGAATTGTTAATATTATCAAAATTTTCATCAGTGATCTCCCCTCTACTGTTTAAAGACTTTTTTTTGTCATTCGCTGTAGAAAAATATTTTCAATGTATTCAGCTTCGAAAACTGTCGAAAACATGAAAGTTATAGTATACTAAGTATTGTGTGAAAGCTATTTTTTTTGGCCGTGATCTGCAAGAGCATATGTCTGGCGTTTCGTCTACTACTACGGTTGACATTATCAAATATGGTAACGATTTGAATTTTCATATAGAAACTTTCCCTTCAATACCTTCATATGGCGACATAATGCGAGTTTTGCAATAGCAATACAGAATTATCCATTAAATGCAGCCAGCAGTCGATTCCAGCAGGACAAGCCCACGATGCAAAATGGGGATTTACTCGAGCGTCATTGAGACATATTAGTTTGCAGAGCTTAGATGATAAGAAGAAAATAATGTTATATAATATATACCTTTTCATCGGTGGGGGAAGCGGCTATAGATTTTTGAATATGTAAAAAAAATACTGTTGCATGGACATACTCGAGCGCGTCAGATATTGATAGCATCAATGTCCTACGTATTTTTAATAATGTTTGTATGTTAATCTGATCGTTTGCATGATGTGGGTGGTTGTACNATCTGACGCGCTCGAGAATTTCTGATAATCATTTTTTTCTACTAATCCGATCTTTCATCCCTCACAGGCGGCTTATATATGGGGCTCATATTTGGTGGAGGTACTTAACCGGGTACAAGGTATCCCCCTGTATATTAATCTGCCGCGCTTTAGTAAATCCCGAAATCCCCGCTTGGGCTTCCCTATTACAAGGCGTAATTTTGTTTTGAGGTGCAAAGTCGTGAAATACAGTACGGATACTATCTAAGGATTCAAATATCGAACAGACTACAGTAGGTATCAAACATTTTTTGGGAGGTGAAAAACCTTCCTCAAAAATTTTCCCTCGCTGGTGAAATGTCTCAAAACGACTTTGAGCGAAAACCGAAATTCTGAACGTTTAAGTTTCAGTCAAGGCAACGTTTGATATGAACAGGTACGTTGATTGACAAAACTCCTTTTTTCGGTCTGATGAAAAACCAGATGGGTTCAAAATACATCATTGGGTGCAAGTTTGGGAACAGGACCTTTCCTAGTCGGAAGAAGGGGAACATTGAATTCGTCGACATGAACCAAATTATGAAAATGTTTGATATTCTTCTCCGTTTGGAAATATTTGACTCAGAGTTCTTCCGAAGAGTGGAGATTTCTAGATAGAGAGATAAGCTGATCGAAATTTAAAAGCAATTGATATTGTTGACAAAAATTCTGAGCAAACGAAGATGAATTTTTCAGACAGATGAGCACATACGTTTCCACATATCCTTTTTTTATATATAATGTGTATAGACTCACCATTCGTTGAAGATCTACTGCTATTACATTCACAATCAACCTGTACTCAATTGCATGGACCTAATTCACAGTAGATGATTTACGTTACATGGTGTGAAAACGTTATTATCAATTATCAGTTAATGTTTCTTTCTAGCGGTTAGGGAAGTTTACTGGATCAAACTTTATCACTCAGACAGACCTGTACATTTCTATATATTGTTATTAGTAAAAGATTATTCAGAGAAGAGTGTAGTACAAAATCTTAGTTTACAGTAATTTGGATGATGAAACTTGCTAACACTATCATTTTGAAAAGATAATTGAGGTTCATAATGATGGATAAGCACCTAAAAGTGATATACTGTGGTTGTATATGAAATTTATATTTAAACAGCTCAAGTATTTACTAAAAAACATGTTTTCAATTATAAGCTCAAAACTAATTCATGTATTGAAATACTGACATATCGTAGGTTTCATGTTGCTGATCTTTTTCCATTAATCATAGCATTTCACTTCCCATGCAATTATTCGTGATGAAGAGCGATTATTCACATCGACTCGTTTTTGAATATAGATTATAACATGTAACCTAATTAATAAATTGTAATTGTTTCACTATCATCTGTAATCAACTGTCATAGAGTAAAAACACTTTCATTGGGTGGATATATTTGTGAAACCTCTCAGTTGAAGTTGTTAAATTTTGTAATGAAAGATAGTATTGGAACACCTGGCGTGGAATAAATCTAATTCAAAACTCTAGTTTTGTATTCGATTTATTCGCGGTTCAACCCGAACTCACCGACAACATATATATAACATATATGAGGCCAAAAGCCAGAAACACGTGTTCTGTCCACGAATTTATCCCTTTTGATTCATATCATACACACACATACACACACAGTCGTTGCTGACTAGTTAGGAATAGAACTAGCTCTGCAGCAAATAAAAGAGTGCTCTTCAAAGTTTGTCCAAGCTTTCGGAAATTTAATAAATTTTTTCCATCATCAGGGATGCTACAGAATTGTGAGTCTAAGTATAATATTGAGATATAATTGGATGGTTAGACTTACAACTTTGTTGAGGACGTTTCATATAATGATTATATGTGCCCAATATTTTACCTAATCAGCATATGGAACATCCTCAACAAAGTTGTGAGTCTAGCCATCCAATTATATCTTAATACTAAATACACATACAATTTCCGAAAGCTTGGACAAACTTTAAAGAGTACTCTTTCATTTGCTGCAGAGCCCCACTATTTACCAGTTCCATATGGATATTATATGGGTTGGTCGTGACTGGTCAGTTGAAGAAACAACTTCGAAACCACTAACTGATTTCTGTTTGTGAGGTTGCAGTCAATTTTGAGGATGCCAGGGAGTAAAAAATAAACTTGGAAATGTTTATTTCCTTCTTCAGGACTTACATCGTGAGTTTGAGAGGAGCTAGTTCCTTCACAACAATCAAAGTTCATCGATCATCTTCAATTAACATTTAACTATCTTCACACTGTTTGTCTGCATAAGATGACCTACAATCGTTGATTATTATGAAGGAACTAGCTTCTCTCAAACTCAAGATATAAGTCCTAAAGAAGGAAATAAACATTTCCGAAAGCTTGACGCAATACCTAAGAGTTTCTTTCCTACTCCTTGGCATCCTCAAAATTGACTGCAACCCCACAAACAAAAATCACTTAGTATAGTAGAGATTCCCAAACAACTTCACAATCAATAACCCTGTATATATGCCATTGCAAGAACCTAATTCTTGGTAGATGTTTCACAGAATTCAACCTTATCGCTCAGATTGAGTTGATTGTTTTCATATAATGCTGTTATTATAAAATGAATAAGAGAAGAATGTAGTATGGTCCAGTCAAGTGTAAGTATGGGCAACACTAGTTTACCAATAGAAAGAAATACGAAGGCACAGAGCCACCAGCAGCTGCAGCTGCAGATGGTTCCTGCTGAATGTCTTCCTTTTGATAACCAAGTGTTGCCCATCCTTACATACTTGGCTGCACCATACTGATAATGAGCCAAAAGCCGAAAACACGTGTCTATGGTTTGCCTCATTCTATTCAATTCATACCTTGATAATTATGTGTCCACTTGCACTAAAGTTGTTGACTTTCAGCTTCATCTTTATTACTTATAAGATAAGCTTCGTGACAAGACTATTTTTGTTCAAACAATAAAGCAATCATGCAATCAATTCTTATATTTGGGAATAAGTGTATGTCAAACAACTCTTTAGAAATGGATCATACTTAGTTAGCCGACTTGAAACAATTCATAGAAAATGACAAAATTGCAACAGATCAATTTAAGAGAACATCTTGTACATCGTACATCGAACGTCTAAAAAGTCAATCAACAACAGTTCATCAAAAGTCTCTTGACATCTGTCGGTGAAGTTCTGAAATGAATCAGATGAAAGAAGAGAAACTACTATATAGTTGATTTTTTAGATTTTATTGTAAATATTTTGAAATATGTTCGGAAGTTATCACGCACTATTAGAATTTTAATTTTAATGAAAAAAGAAATTGTTTCATAAAATGGCTACGATAGACGGTCGTCCCGCACAATATGGAATTACTGTAAAACAGCTACGTGACCTTATGGAGCTCAGGGGTCCAGATGGAATAGCAGAAATTACAAAATATGGTGGGACACAAGAAATATGTAAGAAATTGTATACATCGCCCAGCGAAGGACTCAGTGGATCACAAGTAGACATCCAACATAGAAAAGAAACTTTTGGATCAAATTCAGTTCCTCCAAAACCATCTAAAACATTTGTGCAATTGGTATGGGAAGCTTTACAGGACGTTACCCTTATCATTCTAGAAGTAGCAGCCATAGTGTCTTTATTACTTTCCTTTTATCAACCAGAAACGGAAGAATCAAAATTTGACGATGACGAAACGAATCACGGATGGATAGAAGGCTCAGCAATTTTAATTTCAGTAATAGTAGTAGTATTCGTAACAGCCTTCAATGATTATACGAAAGAGAGACAATTCAGAGGGTTGCAGAATCGAATAGAAGGAGAACACAAATTTGCCGTAATTAGGCAAGGAGAAGTTAAGCAAATCTCCGTCAGTGATATAGTTGTAGGGGATATTTGCCAAATCAGATATGGGGATCTTTTACCAGCTGACGGGATTATCATTCAATCGAATGATTTGAAAATAGACGAGTCCTCACTGACAGGTGAATCAGATCATGTCAGAAAAGGCAAAACCTTCGATCCAATGTTACTTTCCGGTACTCATGTTATGGAGGGCTCTGGAAAGATGCTGGTTACCGCCGTTGGTGTAAACTCGCAGGCCGGTATTATTCTCACTCTCCTGGGAGCTGCTGTCAATGAACAAGAGGCCGAAGTAAAAAACAAGAAGAAAGAAGCTAAACAACAGATAAAGAAGAAAAGTTCACCAGGTAATGAAGAAAACGGGACAGACAACTCGCCCACAACTTCCCAAGGTGGCAAGGAAAACGTTCAATCCACGAAAACATCATCCAAAAGTCCCATGAAGGAAAAGTCTGTTCTCCAAGCGAAACTCACCAAACTTGCTATCCAAATCGGTTATGCCGGTTCCACAATAGCAGTTATAACAGTTGTTATATTAGTTATACAGTTTTGTATCAAAACGTTCGTTATCGATGAGGAAAAATGGAAAAACTCGTACGTTAATTATCTGGTACGCCACTTTATTATTGGTGTCACCGTACTTGTTGTTGCTGTGCCTGAAGGATTACCCTTAGCTGTTACTATATCTTTAGCTTACAGCGTTAAGAAAATGATGAAAGACAACAATTTGGTGAGGCATTTGGATGCCTGTGAAACTATGGGTAATGCCACTGCAATCTGTTCCGATAAAACCGGTACTCTAACAACAAATCGAATGACTGTTGTTCAGTCATACATTTGCGAACAGCTTTGTAAAATAATGCCGAAATTTTCTAATATTCCCAGTTACGTCGGCAATCTCATCGTACAAGGAATCGCCGTCAACTGCGCTTATACGACACGTATTATACCTCCAGACGACGGAAACGACCTACCAAAACAAGTTGGTAACAAAACGGAATGCGCGCTGTTGGGATTCGTACAGGGTCTAGGTAAGAACTACCAAACTGTGCGAGATAATTACCCAGAAGAGAGTTTCACTCGAGTGTACACCTTCAACTCAGTGAGGAAGTCCATGAGCACAGTCATTCGTAGAGAGGGTGGCGGTTACCGGTTATTCACGAAAGGAGCTTCAGAAATAATATTGAATAAGTGTGCCTTCATCTACGGCCAGGACGGTCGCCTGCAACAATTCACAAGAGACATGCAGGAAAGATTACTGAAACAAGTGATTGAACCGATGGCTTGCGACGGTCTGAGAACCATCAGCATCGCTTTCAAGGATTTTGTACCGGGAAAAGCAGAAGCTAATCAAGTACATTATGATAAAGAACCGAACTGGAACGACGAAGACAATATAGTAAATAATTTAACTTGTTTATGTGTGGTTGGAATCGAAGATCCTGTCAGGCCTGAAGTACCAGAAGCCATAAGGAAGTGTCAGAAAGCAGGTATCACCGTCAGAATGGTCACTGGTGACAACTTGAACACCGCCAGGTCGATAGCAATCAAATGCGGGATCATTAAACCTAATGAAGACTTTCTTATTTTGGAGGGTAAAGAGTTCAACAAGATGATCAGGGATAGTGAAGGCGAGGTTCAGCAACACCTCCTCGACAAAGTCTGGCCTAAATTGCGTGTCCTTGCTAGATCTTCCCCAACTGACAAATACACATTAGTGAAGGGCATTATCGATAGTAAGATTAGCGATAACAGGGAAGTTGTTGCAGTTACCGGCGATGGTACGAATGATGGACCCGCCTTGAAAAAAGCTGACGTTGGTTTTGCCATGGGTATCGCCGGTACTGATGTAGCCAAGGAAGCGTCCGACATTATTCTGACTGACGACAATTTCAGTAGTATTGTGAAAGCAGTTATGTGGGGTAGAAACGTTTATGACAGTATAGCCAAATTCTTACAATTTCAGCTTACTGTCAATGTTGTTGCTGTTACCGTAGCTTTCATTGGTGCTTGCGCTGTACAGGACAGTCCGCTGAAGGCTGTACAAATGTTGTGGGTGAATTTGATAATGGACACCTTAGCTTCTTTAGCTTTGGCTACTGAAATGCCCACCGGAGATTTGCTACTTAGAAAACCGTATGGCAGAACAAAACCGTTGATTTCAAGAACGATGATGAAAAATATTTTAGGACAAGCGATCTATCAATTAGTGGTTATATTTGGATTGCTTTTCGTAGGCGACAAATTTCTAGATATAAAGTCTGGAAGAGGAGCTGAAATTGGTCAAGGACCAACTCAACATTTCACCGTTATTTTCAATACTTTCGTTATGATGACTTTTTTTAATGAATTCAACGCGAGAAAAATCCACGGCCAGAGGAATATATTCGAGGGAATTTTCACAAACCCTATTTTCTACTCCATATGGGTTGGAACGTGTCTGTCACAGGTTTAAATGTTTCATTTTCATATATATTTACATATTTCATGTTGTATTTCTTGTGCATAGATTTTCATCGTCGAATATGGTAAAATAGCGTTCGCTACCAAGAGCCTGACGCTAGAGCAATGGATGTGGTGTATCTTTTTCGGAATCGGAACACTCGTTTGGGGACAACTCATCACCACGGTGCCGACTCGCAAAATTCCAATGATCCTTTCGTAAGTGCCTACAATTTTATAATTTTTCATTGTATTTGTATTCAACTGTTCGGTTTTGATGATGTAATTGATGTAGTTGGGGCCGAGGTCATCCAGAGGAGTACACGGAAGCTATTAATATTGGCGAAGAGAAATTCGACTTGGACTCTGACAAAAAACCTCGTACTGGCCAAATATTGTGGATCAGAGGTCTGACAAGATTGCAAACGCAGGTAAGTAAGTCAATATGAATCGAGAACACTATGTATATTTTGTGATGTGGTCTCACGATTGTTGCACCAGTAGGTAAGAGGATGCACCAAGGCAGATATATAAGCAAAAAAAAACACTGCCAGACAACCTCTATCCTACGAGAGTGCCAGTTAACAGGAGTAATGTAAATGAGTGATTGATTTTTTTCCTCAAAATAGAGCTCATTTTAGGATTTGGTTCAGGCAAATTGTTCATTATGATATTTTCATTGGTCCGTGAGAGTGATATATATATGTTATATTTGGGTTAATATCATATAACATATATTTGGAAGCTGTTCAATTGAAATATCATAATACAACATATTTGGCAATAGGAATTAGTTTCAGTTGGAAAGACTACGTCAGTTGAGGACCTCCCGTCTCTCGTCCTTTATCCTTACCAAAACTGTTATAGTCTTAATTTGACCAGCATGGTGCTGCTTTTGACATTTGACAATGTGTGTGCAAAATTAATCACTTAAAATGGGTGAATTATTGGAAACTTGTAACTTAGTTATTATTGATTTTTTCAAGTATTTTTATTTAAAAAGTTTTTTTTATTTGTCACAGTTTAAATACATTTTTAGATAGCATAATAATAATAGCATAAAGTAATNAAATCAAATCAAATTCATTATTAATCTGAAGACCACAAGTGGTATAAGACATGTCAAAAATTTGGATTATAGAGACAAAAAGCAAAATTACAGAGTAAAAAGTTAAATGTTGAAATGATAAGTACAAGTACAGATAGAGTAGGTACACTACAATTACCAGGTTTTCAATATTCAGAGTCAGTGTGTGTTCACCCTGATATAATCGTTTTGCTTTTTTAGTTGTCAGTGTTTTTTGTAGCATACTTTATTATATTGTCGACTAGATTATAAAATTGCCTTGCTGCAAATGTTTTTCACAAAAACCTAATTTGTTGTGTTATATTTGGTAGTTTTTTATTGGAACAAAACATTTTTTTTATTGGCCAGCAGTGGATAAACACCTGTCCTCTCGCAGTTATGTTTTATTTATATAGAAAGAGTTGGTGATATTTTAAAGAGTAACTGCTTGTGTTCTTTTTTAACATACTTACATTAGTGGATACCTCTTCCTCTGTTAACCTTCTCTAACTCCCAGCATGTGTTTCAAAACATTAATAATAATGAAGGATGTTTTGCACTACAAAGCATCGATTCAAGTAGTTAGTTAACACCGAAAAGAACACGACACGTAGGTTGTAGGATTATTAAAGTAGACTGTGCATGTCCGATGATTCACGTTGCGTCAGTCCGTCTATCCCGAGTTGGCTGTGTTGTCTAAGGATGCACATCTTCACACAAAGCGGCCTCGTCATAACTCCTAACCCGGTTTTATTTTTCTCTGCTACATGCTAGTCTTCCCCTTTCAGTGTTTCATCTCTTGAACGCAATAAGCACACGAAATGTACCTAAATACAGATAGGGGCTAAATGTAACACCCTCCTAGTTTACTGTTGGAGAAGTTTTCCACGTTCTCAATATATCATTCTCGAGACTAGTCATTATTTACAGAATTGAAATCTTTATTTATTTATTTAATCTTTAGAAACACATAGAAATATTTCTTATCAAGTTGTTACAAGGCTATGGCAAACCGTAACGTGTAATATTTTGAAGATAGTTTTTTCATTTGATTCAGAAAGTTGAAGCCATTAGAAAGAAACCTATCATTATTGCTTCAGAAGTGGTAGTCGCTTATGTAACTTTTAGTGGTTTTTTACTTTTCGAAAACAAAACTGCAATATCAACAAACGTTTATACCTCCGTAGGTAACACATTTTTTCTTAACATCAGCTCAATCTAGAGACCAAAAATATCAAGTCTTCAGAATGGGTGTAATCCTGCGTTGTTTCCTCAAGTCCCCGAGGACCCAATATATTAGAATCTGCCAATTATCTTCGAGTTTGTAACCGCTTTTCTGTAATTCATAAAATGATTCCAGGTCAAGAAAATAGGCTCGGCTTCATAATTGTCTTTGATCTTTATATACTCATACATATGTTTTGGAAGTACTAAGATAATACGAAGTGTTTTGTTTGCCACAGTTCTTATAACACATTGTCAGCAGACAATTTTTTTCAATTTTAGCGACTTGACATCAGTCATTTTATAGACACTATCAAATATAGTAAGCTTTCTTGTTAGTACAGTTCAGAAAGATTTGGTTTTGTAAATATATTTCATTCCAAATGGCTCAGGTTTACAAACATTTATTTCGAGTTTCATCTATACCAAAGTGTCACTTTCATTGTAGTATTGAATGGTAAACTCACAAAAAGCTGCGTTCTTCCATATCCTCCTCATTAAAGTCGAACTCTACTGGCTATATGCTTGAGATTGTACATAAGTTTCTACATCATTTATTGTATTAATACCTGTTTTTGACTAACTGTCAGATTTTGTGTAGGAAAATCTTCTTTGAACTTACTAGTCTGGTGTTACACGGCTCTTGTGTCTGACAAAATACTTCAGTAGAATCGTGAGTGCAGTGCAGCTTTAAATAGTGGTATTTAATGAATATTTTGTCGTCATATAGCCAGCGGAAGCAATGAAAGAAACTGAGGTATAGGGAACCGGTGGGCGCATCAAGCTACAATAAACAAGTATGTAGTTGATAGTAGGCAATTTAGATGAGATGCGAACTGCTATGTTATTTATGCACTGTGGTGTAGGTGTCTTGAAGCAATACCCCAAGGAATGTTGCCCTCCCCTGTACCTCGTGTTTAGCCGGTAGTTGAATTAGGTGAATTTAGAGTATTTTTACCACTCTAGTTTGTGGAGAGCTTCCTTATTTTTCTTTCGGGACAACACAGCCACCATAACAGGCGGGACGCGGGCCAGATACATGGTTTGTCGAAAAGTTTGCAGAAAATATTGAAAAGCTACCGAGATCCATATATTGAAGAATATTTCTGCAGTGTATCTGATCAGAAAATATTAATTTGAATTTCACTTTCTGATATTTCCTGTATTGGAGCTCAATTTAGAAAACCTAATTATTTCTATGGACACCTACTGGGTTAGAGTTTCTAATTTTTTCTGTACTTTTTGACGGATATTGTATGTATGTAAGATGGATCTGGTGTTTGGGGCATCAAAGATAGTATTAACAAGTCTCTGTTGCTGCTTCAGCTTGGTGTAAAAGGTTACTGTGTGTTTTGTGTGCTGTGGGTACTTGTTTGAGGCACGTTCTCATTCATGCTGTTATTTTTAAGTTTGTGCAACATCTTTGAGTGAATACTGGGTGTATCTTAGGTAATGGTGCCTTGCCGAATGATGAAACCAATTTTTTCTGAAAATGAGTGTTGAAAGTTATTGGGGTTCCTTATAATACCTAGTAATTTTTTCATCATTGTACACCTGTAGGGAGTAAACATTTTTGTTACCTCAACTCCTTAAATATTATATCAAACAGATGTAGTAGATGTAAGTATTCATTGGTCCAAAAACAGTTGCAGGAACATTCTCCATCCACATCCAAAATTATTTACACTAAACTTGTACAGTACACGCACAATACTTGCACTATACTCGCACCACATTTTATGCTGCTAATCAGACATACACTGCTATGAATTGGGTAAGTGTTGACCCATTTTCAGATAAGGGCAGGTATAAGCTAAATGACCCTTATTATGCAATATGAAGGATGTCTTGATTTACATTTAGAATATTCTGAATTGTGTCATATTCCTTGAATATATATCGCATCATTATTTTAAATTTTATTAGACACTGGGGTATACTTGGAGTTTGTAACAGATTTTTCGAATTTTTTCTAATGTGATTTCCGGACAATTTGGATATTTCAAATCATTGCATCCAATTTTAAAACAGCAATCTTTAACTCAGTTTCGACCAACACCTCTGTGATTCATAAAACTCTACTCCATATATCTCCAGGTCATGACAATGACCTGGAGATATATGGAGTAGAGTTTTATGAAAGAAGAAGATTTGAGCTCTCCCCTCTTGAACAAACTTAACAGATATTTTGATATCTAACTTCTCCACCATGAAATCTAGAAATGTAGATTTGTGAATTACCCTTTGTCCGAAGTATATGATTATAAAGAGTAATCTCTAAATATGTTGCATGATTTCAATTTAACAGCATGAATAATACTTAAGTAAAATATGCCTGTCCATCTGCTCTCTTTCTATTTATTTGAACTTATTCTTATGGAATCTTTCCTCAGTCGTACGTTTCTAAGAGGTACTTCAGTATTTTCTTCAACTACTGATAACCTGATTAAACTATCACCAGCGTAAGTACAATGTTCTGCATTTATTTTCAAATGCAGATGAATTTCAAATAAAAATATGACAAATTGAAATGAGGGGTGTGCGTCTGCTGTTGGAGGCCATTTTACTCGTAGGACGAGATTGAGGAAGAACTTACAGATATAAATGTGAGTGAGGACCATGAGTGTGTGAGATTGTTTTTTTTTTATTTAATAGGATTTTTGACACCTAGACACAAGGTACCTGAACTGCGATACTTTGTACATTGCAGAAAAGTTATTGAACGTCATTTATTTACAGATAGACATATGATGTTTGATTTTTTTTTGTCCTTCGTGTAGAGCTTTTGAAGGAATTTTTATCCAACTTCGAAATGTTGCAGAATTATTTTTTCTAATACTTCATACATGGATCAATTAAACTTCATCAATCATTGCTATTGTGACTCTTTGGAGTTTTTCAGGAGCTAGTGTAATTTTTGGGTCGTCTCATTTTCTAAAGAACTTTTGATTTCTGTTGTCTAGGCAAAGGCTAAATTTGGATCTAGAGTAAAAAGTTTGAGTTACTTTATTTCCGTAAATTCAACTTTAACTGGTCACCTGTTGTGTGTTCTAATTAGTTTTTGGTAATATTGATATCACATGCTTAGAAGAAATAATCGTGGAAGAGTAATTTAAAAGCTTGGGTTATTTGTGTGTTGGG